CTAAACTAATATCTTTTTACATTTTGCCTTGCTTTCCATATGTTTCTAGGGCTCTGGTATCCTTAGATTAAGAAAACACAAAATTCTGCCTGAAGCAAATATTCCCGAAGGCACATTTATAACAGTACATAATATGAGGTACTGTCTTTATTTTATCTTAGCTATCTAGCCTTCCACAAAGCCCACTGATTTATTTTTATTTACTTTAGTGACTGATTTCCACTAATTGGGTTAGTGTTCCTATTTATAGCAAGTTCGAAAAACCTAGAATATCCCAGTAGCCTAAAAGATTAGACTATTAAAATGAAACTTTGAGAAATAATGTCAACCTCTCACTTTGATGACTCTGTCTGTAGATGATCCACTCAGCTCCTTACTCCCCCACCCTCTTAGGGGGTCAGTTTCTTACTTAGCTCCCAGAAAGAAAAAAGTTTATTTTCTTAGAAGGAGGAAGACAGAACATAGGTGTTTGATACACAGAACTGTGTCCTGAGGCAGCTTCAGCAATGTAAAACCTACTCTCCAGTGGCTATGGTGCTTGAGGGTCAGCCAAGTGTTGGAGATCATGGAAAGAGTTCAGAGAAGCCAAGGTTGTCAGTACCGTATCTTTCAGTTGAGTACCTAAAACTAGACCTACTTAACTGTAGGGCTCAGATTATAAGTTATAACAATATATAGTTTTATTATTTGTAGACATATAGTATACAGATTGTAGTACCTCCTTTATATAGTATTATAACTGACTGTTCAAATAAATTTGGTCCCCCATTCATTTTCATTAATTTTTAAAATCAGACTTAACCACTTCCATGTTTTATATCTTAAAAACAATGGTGTGTGTATGTGTGTATGTGTGAATGCGCATGCGTGTGAACATGCATGCACGTGCACGCGTGTGTGCTATGTTTCTGGGATTGAGTTAAACTCTTTACATATAACATCTCATTTAACTTTACAATGACCCTATGAAATATGTACTCTTATTCTCCCCATTTTATGGGTAATCATACTAAGGTTTAGAGAGCTCAAGACTTTGCTAAAAATATTAACACTGGTAAATGTAAATCCAGGTACCCCAACTCCACAGCCTTAGCTCAGAGCCACTTGGGGTACTATTTCCACAGACTCCATTTTCTTCAGTCAAATATCCTGAGCACAATTTAACCAATTCTTGAGAGCTTAGGGTCACCATCAATGGCTGTGGCAATGCAGTCATTCTCTCTCAGGCTTTGCTATCAGTCGTCAGTCCTGATGGCTGCTGCCCATTGCTAGAAGCTTGCCTTCCTGTCTTACTACTTTTAATCTGCAATAACCTAAGAAATATAACAGCTACATTGGTTAAAACTGTTCATAAAGTAAGTCAATAAACTTCACAGAATTCCCTGAAAGCATGTCCGGTAAGTGCATGGACTTTGCGGAGAATATTTCAGTGGCTCAGCGACCTTTTTCTTTTTCTTTATAAGGTCTTTGCAGTGTTCCCAGATAAGTGAGCCTAACAGACACTGGGAAATTTACTCAAAGTTACTTATCAATATAAATTATCTGCATTATGAGGATTTCATGTGTTGACCTACTATTTATCTCCCAAGTACACTAAAATAGACAGTACAGAGATTGTATGGAAGAAGAAAGTGTGAATTATATATGTGTGAATTTCATTAACCTATGTTAATTTTATTAACCTACGCTGTTGTTCCTGTCAATACAATCAGTGAGAGTTAAGTAATAAAACCCTGCCCCCGCTTACAGAAAAAAAACATTGACCCAACAGCAAAAACAAGTTAACTCATTTTCATTTTCTTGCCCCATTTCCAGGCTAAGAGCACTTCTCACCTTACTGAACTGTCCAACCACATGCTTCAGAATATTGGGAGGGGCATCATATAGAAGTGGCTCAAGGGCTGGTAGATAGGTGCATTTTTGTAGGATAGTCTTTATGGCTTTTTTACTCTATTGAAATACAAAAGCAAAATACATACCAAAGTAAGTAATCAATGAAAGCTTGACAAAAATTCATGTCTCATGTTCCTGGAATTTGAAAATGAAATCAATTTCCTGGTCTAAGCTGCAGTTGTTTCATTTTTTTAAAACAGTTGTCAGAAAAACTCTTATCTTTCATAGGAGTGTTTCAATGGTTTTATCATAGAAAACCCTGCCAGTTGTCTTCATGTCACATTTTAAAATATATAGCATATTATTGAGCTCTTAAAATACCTGTGAGGAAATTCAGATTATAAATCATAAAGCTATAGACTGTAAATTAATATGGATTATATTTTATTAGCATAAAAATTCATATATATGAAATTATGAGATAACTAATGTCCTATTCCTCCCAATCAACAAATATAAGAAAATGCTTAGCTTACTATGGAAAACCATTATCAGGCATTCTATGTTCTCCAAAAGATTTCATGGCTTATAGGTATGTAGTCAGAAATATTCTATGTACATTATTCAATGAACACTTGCAGATATGCTGCTTTACATCACGGGTAGAAATTGCCACACTCACAGATAGAAGCAAAACAGATAGAATCTACGCAACTGTAGAGAAAAGCTCAACAATAGGAAGTGTATCACCCACAAAGTGAAAGAATCGGTACCCACATGTACCTTTTCCACTCTCCCCCAGCACTCTGTATTTCATGGTGACACCATGTGGTGCTGCAAGTGTGGCCGGAGAAGGGCTGATGTGACTGTAACACATCCCTGCAACCAGCTCTAAGGCCATGGCTGGTTGTGATTCTGTGTCTTTGTTTTAAAACCTGCCCCCTTCACTTTGGAAGGTTTATGTACAGCTGTTTTCTACTAGAAATCCACATCTGTTTGTATGTATGTGGTTTTTTGCTTCAGTGCATCCTTACACCCTTTCCTCTGATCACCTATTCTCTCTCTGAGGCCGTAGCTGACTTGTTCTTCTGGGATCTTGCTATTGAACGTTTAGCAATGAATTCAATGTCATGGAGCATATTGATTTTCTCATCGTGAATTTTACAGTTGGTAAGTGGATTCTGCAAAAACTTTCATCACATTTGTGCTCTCTATAAAGGAACTCTTGAATTTGTGGTTTCCCAGAAACCCTGGCTAAGCATTCTTGTATAATCTCTTATCTCTTGACATATTTATCCTAAAATATTGTTTTATAAACCAAATTAAATAAAACAAGAAACTAAGAAATGCAAACCAAAATTTTTTCACAAGTCGTATAACGTAAGTCAGAATTAAACTCTCCATTCCTAACACACCTAGTTAAACCTTTGTGAACCATCTTAGGGTCATGGTGACCTTGACAGGCCAACAAATTTAACTTAACTGCTGTTGGTGACAAGGTCTGCAACAGTATAGCAGAGACCACATTCATCATACCATACAGATAGCCTTACTCTAATTCTAACAATTCCAAGTTGGTGATGTACTGTCAAGTTATTAATCAAGAACTCTAGAGGAGGGGGCGGCCGAGTGGCGCAATGGTTAAGAACTGGCTTGGGATGCCAGAGGGCACCGGTTCGGATCCCACATATGAGGGCCAGTGACACTG